GAATGAAGTTAAAGCATTGGAGTAATTCCAGGAATTCCATGGCAGATTTGCAGTTTGTATCATCAATGTGAAAGTTGGAGAACGGATGGTGACGAGGCACAAAGCTGGGTCAGAAAAGCGGAGAAGTCAGTGAAGAATGAGGATTTGAGTTTGGCCAGGCGATAGATAAGTGCAATAGTCAAAGGGGTTGGACCGGACAATTTGAAGGCAAGGTGTTCAAATGAGTGTGCAATAGGGAAGGAAATGGGTGCTGTTCTTCTGTCCTTTCGGTATATGGCTGCTACACCACCACCACGCTTTTCAAGGTGGGGTTTATCCATGTAGGTGAAGCCAGCAGGCGTACTTTGCTTAAGCTCAAGATAATCCAAGGGTTTGTGCCAGGTCTCAGTGAGGCAGAGGAAGTCCAAGTTAATATCACTGATGAAATCATTTAGAATGACACTTTTGTTATTGAGAGAGCGGGTATTCAGCAGAGCTAGTTTCAAATGCTGTTGCAATGTGATTGGTTGCGGGGTTCGAGGGAGATGACGGAGATTGGATGGGTTCACATGTTGTTTGTTATGGTGTCGTGATGCAGACGTCCTAGGGCCATAAGACCAAAATGATGGGATTGAATTATGCGATGAAACTTTGTATATGATAGTCCGCCTGGAGCCTGCGCGTTGAGGACCAGGAATGCGGTATACTTCGGTCCCGTAAGCATCCATGCAGCCCATGTAGTGTTGGGAACCAGGGGGCTAGAGTGTTAGCAGCCAGGGAGCTAGTGACCTAGCATCCGGAGAGCTAGCAGCCGGGGAGCTGGTGAGCTAGCATCCGGAGAGCTAGCAGCCAGGGAGCTGGTGAGCTAGCATCCGGAGAGCTAGCAGCCGGGGAGCTGGTGAGGTAGCATCTGGAGAGCTAGCAGCCGGAGAGCTAGTAGCTGGTAAGCTAGCAGCCAAAGATTTGGAGCGTTTGCAACTGGAGAGCCGGAGAGCAACAGCCGGAGAGCTGGCGAGCTAACAACCAGAGAGCTAGCAGCTGGAGAGCTGGAGTGTTTGCAGCCGGAGAGCCAGAGAGCTGGAGAGCTAGCAGCCCGGGGAGCTGGTGGGCTAGCAGCCGGACAACCGGAGTGTTTGCAACCGGAGGGCCGGAGAGCTGTTCGAGAGCACAACAGTCCCAGGAATTGTAATTTTAGCTTCTACATTTCTTTATCAAAACCTGCGAAACCATATAAAGCAGGTTTAGCATTGAGCCTATTATAGACCTTGTGGGGACCAGCTTCTGGGACACAGATCTGTTCCTGACCACAAGACTGGCAGTTCAGATCCCATGGTTGGGGTGATTTCACCATTGGGCCCTCGAACAAGGGCCTTAACGTTAAGGCCCTTTAGAACAGGGGTGGGGGACCTGTTCCATGGAGTGCGGATGTGGTTGGGGGCTCTTAGGCTAGAGATCTGTCCCTAGCAATTGGAAGGTTGCTGGTTCGAATCCTGTGAATGCCACGAATGATCCTACTCCGTTGGGCCCTTGAGCAAGGCCCCTAACCTGCAATTGCTCTGTTCTGGGTATGATATTAATCTACATTCAGCCCTGCAAGCAGGTCCTCCAACTTACAGGGAAATTTGGGGGTTGGTGGTAGGATTGGCACTCCAGCCACTAGAAAAAAAACTCACACTGTTCCATTGGACTAGTGTGGTGCTGAGGTATCACCAGGGATTGACATAACTGGTATGCAAGTACGCATTCACCTTTAAAAGCGATACGCGCACCAATCGATTGTTGTGAATGCATATGTATTTTATGTGCATTTGCGCCGATATGACAAGAAATTATTGTGCATTTTAACCTTCATACCACAAATGAAGTACGAGTTAGAATATAAAGGTTAAAATGCACGATAATTTCTTGTCATATTGGCACAAATGCACATAAAATACGTACGCATTCATGCTGTTACAACAATCGATTGTCGCATGTACCAGTTATGTCCATCCCTGGGTATCACCCACTGCACAGCTGCGCCCAGGTTCTCGTCCCTGAGGTGGTTTATCGTGTGGTTGGTGCGGCAACCCGATGTAATCAGCATGAGCTCCTTACCTCTCTCAATCAGCCAAAAATAAAATTGTGATTCTCAACTCCAGTCCTGGGAACCCACTGTTATTGGCTGATCGAGAAGTCATTCCAAAAACCCCCACCCACACTGGCCCTCCATGGATCAGGTCACCCCCTCCCCCCCAACCCTCACTATAGAATGAAAATCTCTAAATTGCTGTTGGATGTTCTGTTGTGTAGTACTCTAGGCTCAAGTGATGATTTTGAGGTTAAAATTGAAGAACATTTGATTTTTATAGACAAATTAAAAGTGGCATGGACTGAACAGTCTTTGTCTCCCCTACCTTTAAAATCAATCTGTTAAGCTCATGTTTGGGTCAGAGTGGGGAGTCTGGGAATCCGGAATCTTCAGTGGACACCAGGTATTGCTCGAAGAATGCAGATTCAAAATCAATTTATACACTGTAGCAGTGGTAAATTGGTCATTAATTGAAACTATAAAAACTATTACAGGTGATGAGCTTACAATATTGCCTTTCCCTGGGTTTGAATAATAAAATGAAGGTAATCAACAATTCCATGAATGGTTTAAAATTAATGAGAAATCAAACAGTGTGCATATAAAAATTCATATTGCTTGAGTTAGGTTAAGGGTCCAAGTTTACTTTCTGAATGAACAATAAAACACGTTAGTCGGAACTTTTCATGCCGACAGACATAATGAAGGATTTGTCTTGCATGATTACTAAAGTAGATGTTTGATGGCAATTAATAAAATATTTGTCTCTACATTATCATCATTTTGCTCATCATTTATCTTACTGTAGGACAAATGGCGGTCAAGTGGCCAACAATGCAATCAAACTTTAAAAGGTTTACTAAGGTCATTGCTCTTATTTGTATTCTTGTTGTATGCCAGCTTATTTATTAAATATGTATACATTGTCAACTGAATCTGACTGAGATTATGGATAGAATATTATTTTTTTTTTTTTAATAATTCACATTGATGATCTATATTGCCAATTAGTTGACTTAAATTACTTAAGACCTTAAAGCTCCATTTTATATAATGGTGAAGTTACCATTATATAATTCTATATTCTAATTCTTTGTTGAATTTGTACTACTTTGTACTGTATGTCACACCCCAATCGTGCTGATGCTCCTGTGCCACGCCCCCCTCGTTAACCTCATGTCAATTCCTAGTGTTTTACAGCTGTTTCCAATTGTCTGTATTAGTTCAGTGTATTTAAGTCCACGTCAGAGTTTGTTTCCCTAGTTCTGTCATTGTAGTGTCGTGCGTTGTCGTGGAGTCTACTGCCGTGTTTTCCCTGTTTTGCCCCTTCGTTCTCCAATTAAATCCTTTTACTTAACCCTGTTCCTGCCTCCCTTTGCCTGCTTCCCTGGTCCGTGTTTTACGCGTTATGACACTGTACTTGTAATACTTTTCTTAAGAGATCTATTTCTTGTAATTATCTGTAGTGTCACTATTTAGCAATAGCCCAATTAATCCTCATAAACTGATTGTCTGGAACAAAATTAGCAACTTATTGCTTTAGAGAAACAATTAAATAGAATGGTTATTCACTGCTGTTTCAGGGGTAAATCTGGTGCTGGTTAATATGCATTATTAATCCTTCAGTTATAAGGCCTCTGAGGCCTGTGATTTTTCAGCTGTGATCTAAATGACTGAGTGATAACACTATTAACCCAGTTTTCAGACTGGAAGCGAGGAAGCGCGGTTTGTCTCTGCCAAGGCTGCGGGAGAGAAGCTGCTTTCCGATTCACCTGCACATCCCCGTGCCCATTAATGGCAGAGAACATAGAGGGTGGCAGCATACATCATCAGCAGGGACGCCTATCCCAATCACTACACACCACTGTGCTGCGTGTTTCCTGACCCAGTCAGAACTCTCATGATAGTCAGAGAGACTCCAGCTTCAAGAAAATAGATCTGGAGCTTTTAAAATCACTCAGTCTCCCAGAGTTCTTAAGTTTGCGGAAGACCTTCCAGGAAACCAGCCAGCGATGTGTATTTTGCATCATGTGTGTTTGTTTCTTGTGTGTTCGCATCCTGTATGTTTGTATGCCCCCGTGCGGAAGGGATTAGGAAAACATCTGTCTGGTGAATAAGCCACGAGACAAGGTTTGGTTGTTGGGCTGCTTTTAACATCTATTTGCACCAGGCTTAGCCAGAAGCAACCATGTGTTTGTGTGTATAATGTAACACCTAATGACTTAGTTATATATAACACAGCATAGTGTACAGGTAGGTGTAATGCATTGGATTTATTGGTCAGTCAGAAGCTTATCTAGATTGTTTGACTGATTACAGTGTCACAGTTCTTATATTCGGATATTTCTTTGCTCTTATATGTCCTGTGAGTTTCTTTTAAATTATTCTTTACTTTTGCCTTAAGCAATTTTGTCATGCATAACATACAGCACTGAAAGGGACTCAATTAGTCTTCAAGCAAATACAGGATATAACTACAAAGCACTGTGATGAGTTGGTTCCCCGTCCTGCATTATTAACTGTTTTGTGCTCCAGACCCACGCTGCCCATATACTGTATACACACACATATATATATATATATATATATATATATATATATATATATATATATATATATATATATGGGCACAATTATTGCGATGTTTCACAATTATACCGTATGTGTAAGTACAGGAAAGCTATGACCAGTCATTAAGCCATCAAATCGGGGAATGGAAATAGTACTTCCAGGACACCCATAGTAGACATACTGACGCCAACAACTGACCATTTTATTGCCATTTGCACTAAACCACAAAATAAAGAAATAAAAAGCAAAAAGCGACGTTCGTTTTCCTACTGTTTCCCAAAATAATCAATTCCACTTAATGTAGGAAGTAAAACACGCGTTTCAGCGCTTAAACAAAACAGGTGTTAGAAACCAGACGCCTTCAGACTGACGGCAAACTCATTTCTGATGGTTTTCCTCCCGGGCGGCTCTATAGCAGCTCATGTAAACCGCGCTGGTCTTTCCGTCTTGTTAAACTGCTGTCATTCTTACCGTGAATTCAAATGCGTTTTTATTTTCTCTCTGTTTCCAGCTCTAACAAGTAATTAACTTGATCGCTAACTCGTGGCGTGCATTTAATGAAGATAAGAGGGCTTCCAGGTAAACCAGGGAGGGGGGAGAAAATGCGCAGCCGGGGAAACGTGCTTGTGTTTCAGGATGTCCTGTATCGCTTATTAAAGGTGGACGGGGAGCGGCGATAGACGCCACTCCTGCTTAAGACCTTAAACGGGAACCTGCTCGATTCAAAGCCGATCCGGACACCGCTGCGTCGTCAAATTTACCCAAAGACTGGAAGATCTGACCGGCATATTGATCCGGTTCAATAGCTGAATCCCCGGCGATCCCAGTGCAAACAGCAAGACCAACGCTCAAAAATAAAAAAAAAGACCTATGTAGAAAGCAGAGTTATTTCCCCTCCCTTTTCTTCTCTGGCTGGAAGGGGAGAAATCAGTTTTGGGGCAAACAGCGTTTTGATGCTGGCGGAGCTGCGCGCATGCGTTGCTCTTGTCGGAATAATTGCGCTCAACGGGACTAAGTTGCATTCCCTGGTTCTTCCGTCAAAGTCATTTCTTTTAATCAAAGTTAGAGATGTGGACTGTTCAGGACCTAGGACGCCTTGGGATTTTATCTCTTCTTCTCACGGTCGGCATGGTCTCCTGTGCGCAAAGGTAAGATCTTTTTGGGATCTGTGATCTCGCATTTTTAGTCTCATCTGTCTTTTTTCTCACTGGCTGCAGTTTGCTTTGCTTTTCCTAAAATTCATTCCACACACACATATATATATATATTTCCCTTCTTAGCGCGAACGAGCCCAGTAACATGTCATACGTGAAAGCGACGGTGGACAAACTGCTCAAAGGATATGACATTCGCTTAAGGCCTGATTTTGGAGGTACTGTAATTCTTTTAAATGCTTGTCTATTTGTCTTACCGGGTCTGTCTATTAATGTTACGGGAGCAGATTGCGGGCGGGGGGGGGCGATTTCCCAGTTGCTTAGACTCTGATTCGTCAGTCATGTGTGATCAATTAATACTTGACTTGCATTTTGCGTCTCTTTAAGGCGCTCCCGTGGACGTTGGCATGAGCATAGACATCGCCAGCATCGACATGGTCTCTGAAGTCAATATGGTGAGTGAACTGCAAACCAGCATGACACCAGTGCAAGCAAAACCGGCGCATATATTTCAGTGACATGCATTATGAGGGAAACGTCTCACTTAAGTTATTCACAATGATGCTACCAGAGTGTGTGTATTTTGCTGACACTGCAAGCTGTTGCAGAACTTAATAAATTACAAGCCTTTTTAGTGTTGGAGGATTCTTTCTGGGAATCCTGCACGTTTTTAAGGTGCATGTGAGGTTTAATAAGACGATGGGGTGTGTGTTAAACACGCATGATGGCGCCATCTGCCGATTACGACGAGTCAATGCGTTTCAGCGCTATGGACAGCTCTGCAATCTGCATTTTTGTATGTGTAAAGTTCGCTTAGGTCTGGGAAGCCGGTGAGGACTGAGCCATTGTGAGGCACATTGTTGCTGCACATGGACCGTGCATCTACACTGAGATATCTGCAGAATAAAAAGGGAGGGGGGATTTAGATAGATTGAAAAGAAAAGGCATTACGTAAGACTGTCAGTGACTCAACAACGAGTATTAAAAAATCAAGCCCTAGTGCTATTTCTGTGCACGTGGTGTCTATATTAGTAACCTCAGAACATGGTTAATTATTAACTGTTTCCCCAAAAATGTTGCTCTTGTTGATTTTTGGCAGATTTCATATCAGAAGCACTTCAATTAAAATGGGAAAGGATCTGATTATTAAAAGATGCAGATTAGATTTGTGTAATAATGGGATGACAGCTGTTCAGAGGACCTTTGGTGTCCCATCATATGAAGCTGTGGCAGTGAGTATGTTTTTAAGAATTTGCTTGGTGTGGTGGAAACAGGAATGGTGTCTTTGTAAGTAGGCAAGTTCAATGCAAAAGGGAGCAGTCAATCTGAAACACTTTTCTAGTACTGGTATGTTTTTTTTAAGCTGGACAACAGCTCTTTCTATTACGTTATTTAGTTGTTTTATAAACAAATGATTTGTGCAGTTTTGTACCATTTTCATGCAGTGCCACTAAGATCTTAATATTGTAAACCTTGTCACCACTGTATCTGCTGTACAAAATGCTGTGAAAATTCAAGCTGCCTGCATAAGGTGTTACTCGACTGGCTGCTTGGCATAGAGTGAAACTTTACTGAAGTTACTCATCGGCATACTGTACCTTCGGGTGAGAATCATTCAGAAAAACAATGCTATAGATTAGTTAATGAGACTGTGAATCTGATAAACCAGCATAATGATGTTTTCTGTCTACACTGCTCTGCAGGCAGTCTAGACACAACAGTTAGAGACTAACTTCATGTATGTCTTTGTACTACAGAGAGAAACTGTAGAATCTGGAAAATCCAAAATATGGAGGGCAAGGAGCAAACACATTAATCGCTTGGGGGTCCCCCGTAGACCGAGTTGAGAAACACTGATTTAGTTGACATGCTGTCAAAACCACTGACCTCCCTGGCAACACTACAAATAAGGCATTTACTGCACTTTGATATCATAATTCCCAACACAGCAGAATTTTCCTCCTGAGCCCCCCAGGGCAACAGGTTGTCATCTAAACTAATAAAATACAAGACCTCTGTGTCTAGTAGCCATTGTTGTTGTGCTTTAATTTAAGTCATATTTCATACCGAAGACTGACAACAGCTCCCTCCCTCAAAATACATCAAACTACTAATCATAGAGAAAGAGCAATCTCAAATAGCCCAATTGTTCTGTGGAGACAGGTTACCATAGGAGATGAATAAAGTGGGTTTTTCCTGAAGTGTAGGCCTGCCTTTGTAACCCACATACAGTTAATTTGTCCCTTAGACTGACTATAAGCTGTTGCACTGCTTGGCGCTGGTGTCGACATGCCCCATAAATGCTGAAACGTCATGTTGACTGATCCTTTATCTTGCTCCCACCATGTTGCTCCCCCCCCCCCAATCCCCTGACTCAAAAGCCTATTTCTGTCTCAAGAGGGTGTCGTAACCTGTGAACAAATAAACTTAACTGAGGTTTACTAAATTATACTTCACGACTTGCAGGCATATCACCGGCCATTTACATTTAGGCTAGGGATGGGCAATCTTATCCTTAAGGGGCCGGTGTGTATGCGGGTTTTCACTGCAACTGCCCAGTTAGATGACTAATTAGAAGAGTGATTGGCTGAAGAGTCCTCACACACCTGGGTTTGAACAGCTGACTGCCCACCCCTGATTTAGGCTATTTACACACGAGTCATTTTCCCTTAAAACAGCATTCTGTCAGGATTCTCCTGAGGAAATTCACTGCAGCCTTAAAGGGTTACTTGACTTTCTGTTGTATGTGTTTAGCAGGTTCAGAGAATTAAGCCAGTTGGCCTCCTTGGAGCAGCTGAGGTTCAGGGATCTTCTCAAAGGCCCGACAGCGGTACCATTTCTCTCCCAGCCTAGACACAGGACACAAATCCATAATCTACTGTGATACATACTTCTATCACCCACCCTGGTTTGACCCATCATACATTTCTGAAGATTAGAGGTCATATTTACATTCCACCGATGACTCGCAGAAAAGTCAGACACAAATTGGTGTTTTGTCCTAGCAACCCAATTGAACCTGGCCAGGACTGGGAGCTGTAATCTCCATGGTTCTCCATCCCAATACTGTCCCTACTGTTGCACATGTGCGAATAGGCATTTAATCTAAACTGCTCTGGCAAATTAGATTCAATCAACAAAATCAGTCCTATCTTTTAAAATCAACAGTAAGACCTATTAAGACTTCATGTCTGACGTCATGCTCCAGGAAACGAGATAGTGACAAAGTGGCCTGTCTCTTCCAAGGAAGGCACACAAAAATGTGTTTTATATCAGTTAAAGAATTTTAAAGGCATAATCGGCAGTTTCTATACATATTTTTAATTAATTTGACAAAAAAAATCAAAGAAGCTGAGGTCCCTTGAAAGACTGTGGTAGCAATGGAATTAGAAAGGTACAAAGCCCTAGTCTGTCAGGCACTGATTCCTGGAATGTGTGATATTAATGGCTGTTAATGTCCACTTGTAATATTAAGATAAATGCATTGAGGCTAAATGGATTTGTAGCAACCTCCAACCTCTGCACATGCCTGATATTAATTTGATTTGTGGCTGGCGTCCTCTCTGCTTTTCAGCCTAGTGTTCCCCTCAAGCTGAGTCTTTTAAGCGGTGACTTGTTCTCTCTGGGGTCTTTCAGAGAATTATCTTGGTTTGTATATTATGCTGCCTAGTTATTTTCAATTCTTTTGAAGCACTTTTTGATCATGTTTGCCTTGCATCCATCTAATTTTTGAAATATCCTTTCAAAATGCTGTACATCTACTGTAGAAAGTGCTAATGATAGACATCTTTCTCAAAGTAAAAGATCGATTCTCTTTTGATATCACTTTGTTTTTTTTGAATGGAATATTCCTCCCTCTTAGTTCAGATATATTCTCTGAAAATAAATACTGACTTCATGTACACATACAGAAATCACAAAGCCCTCTAAACTTGCCCGTGTCTTGCTCATTTCTGCCTTTTATATACAATACAAAACCTTCCATTAATTTAACGTCTTTGTTGCTTCAGGATTATAGGTCCAATTTATTGGCATCTTTAGAAAAAAAAACTTTAAGCCACACAAAGCTGACTTATGTAAAACGGCTTTCTTAGTAAGAGGCCCTTATTAATAAGGGGGTCACATTTTAATATGTTTATACAGCCTACTAAAGGAGTGGTAATTATCACTAGATTATTCTCAAGTGATTTCAAAATGAGATTATTTTTTTTCTTTTCCAAGAAATAAAAGCTAATCCAGTATAAATAGGGGAGTATTTATTGATTTATGAGCCTCTGCTTCCTATTGCTGCTGGCTCTTTAACTCCTCCTTGGACCACAGCAAAGGGAATTTACATTTATTTTGCAGATGCTTTTGTCTAAAGCCACACACATTTGAGAGAGCAGGATCAGGCAGTCTGCCTGAAGCAGCTGGGGCTCAAGAGCCCAATGCCGGAATAACTCTGCCAGCACAGGATTTGAACCAGTGACCTTCCAATCCCAAGTATAGGGTCATAACCCCCAGAGCCACGCACCACCTGAACTATGTGGCTGGTGACGCACAGGCTAATCATGGCAAGGCTAGTAGACACTATCCTGCCCAAAACCCCAGGAGAGCTGAAGCCTTGAATTGAAGTTAACAGCATGTAGGCCCCTCTTTGACCGTAACGTGGGCTTTACCACTGGTAGGCTGATTTCCCCGATGTATGGCAGAAAGTCTTACATCGCACTCCCTCATCTCCTTGTGGAGAAAATCCCTATCATGCTATCATGCTATCTCTGTCTCCTTCCCCAGGTCAGGGATGAGCATTGAGGTCACGAGTCTAGAGGGGATAATCCTGAGACTGTGATATGAATTTACAGTATGAATTTGATGGTCGCCTGTGTCTCATTTCCCAATCCATCCCTATTCCCCTTTACATTTTACTTATTCGCAGGCACTTTTATCCAAAGTGACAAACTTTGTTTTTTTGAGAACCCAGGGTCAGCCAGTCCCTGGAGCAACTGGGGAGAGGGGTTAAGGGCCTTACCCTACCCATGGGATTTAAACCACTGACCCACAGAGTCACGACCCACAGAGTCACGACCCACAGAGTCACGACCCACAGAGTCACGACCCACAGAGTCACGACCCACAGAGTCACGACCCNGTCACGACCCACAGAGTCACGACCCACAGAGTCACGACCCACAGAGTCACGACCCACAGAGTCACGACCCACAGAGTCACGACCCACAGAGTCACACACTGCCTCCTCCACAGAAGCCATCTCTCCCTCTCCTAACCACCTCTGGAGCTCAGGGAGTGGACCCACAGAGTCACACACTGCCTCCTCCACAGAAGCCATCTCTCCCTCTCCTAACCACCTCTGGAGCTCAGGGAGTGGTCCTGGTGCCCATCCCAGGCGGCATCAGGCTGGGAAATACCCTTCACAGTCTGCCAGTCCATCACAAGGCTCACACTTTATAGCTCCGTT